GCTGGGTTTCATCTTAATTCAGTTTGAACAATACCACATGTCTATACAAACAATAAATAAAAAGGACCATCTGAGAAAAGAAAATGTCACTATAAAAGCCATGCCATTTTCATACAGCGTTTTGAAACTTCCCCCTTCCACCCCCTCCATTGGTCACCTGACTTAACTGTTGATGTGTTGAGTGTTTTCCCCAAGACATGATTAAACACGGGCATCAATCTCCACATTTATAGCTAGGATAGCAACTTTCTTTTCTGCCATGTGATTTCATTTCCTTTGATCTTTCTTTTGCATGACATAAATCTTGGTAACATAATATATAATCATTGCCATTTCAAAGCTATCTTTAATTATAAACATTGGCCTAAACAGTGCCTAAATGTTTTCAGAATAAATGGGTACATACGTCCTTTCATTTTTTAAAGAAAATAAATGACTACTAGTAAATATTTAGATTATTTATTTTTATTTTTTGACAGGCAGAGTTAGACAGTGAGAGAGAGAGAGAGAGAGAGAGAGAGAGAAAGGTCTTCCTTTTTCCATTGGTTAACCCCCCAAGTGGCCTCTGTGGCCGGCACATTGCGGCTGGCACGCTGCGCCAATTCGAAGCCAGGAGCCAGGTGCTTCCTCCTGGTCTCCCATGTGGGTGCAGGGCCCAAGGACCTGGGCCATCCTCCACTGCACTCCCGGGCCACAGCAGAGAGCTGGCCTGGAAGAGGGGCAACCAGGACAGAATCCGGTGCCCCGACCGGGACTAGAACCTGGGGTACCGGTGCCACAGGTGGAGGATTAGCCTAGTGAGTTGCGCCACCGGCCACATATTTAGATTATTTTTAAAATTGAAGACAGGGCGAATTTAGATTCCCTAAGTTCATAATAAATGCCTTTTCCCCAATCTGGCTCTTCCCCAAAAACTGTCTTACTAATTCCAAACTCTATTGATTTGGGAGAAGAATTAGGAATGATATACAATTCTCTGTATATCAAGAGTATAAGACCTTTTTATAACACACGAATGTCAACTGAATTATTGGAAGAAAAATGAAGCTTCTGTAATGGAAGGAAACTATGGTTATATATAAACTTTCAAAGATCTATTCTGTAAATACAACTTCAGTTTTTGAGTGGCAAGATTTTGAAAGAAATGTCTTCCTCCCACTCCATGAAATGACATGAGGGATAGATTAGATGGGAAGAAAGGTAGTATTGAGCTTCTCCTCTGTTTCAGACACTATTCAGGGCATTATCCATGGGTTTCCTCTAATTCTCACTGTGAAACTACATAACTGAGACCCAATGAAGTTCAGAAACTTCTTGTGATTTTCTGGCTAATAGTACTGAGCTTAACGACAGGTTGGTCTCATCCCAACACCAATAAATAACCTTAAATTTAAATTATTATGGCTCTATCTTGTTCAAAACCAATACTTTTAACTGTTTGCTTCCCCAACTTGTGAAGAGTTTGGAAAATATTCCTTTTCTATAAGAGGTAGGGCACTTTCAGCTACACAGACCAACTTTACTGACTGTTTTTGCATCTTGATAACTAGTGATATTTGAATTTGGAGATGGATTAGAAATATCCTTGGGTTACTGGAGTAGATCGAGTTATATTAACAAAATAAAGAATTACAGGTTTCACATCTTTATACTAATTCTGGGCTTTACTGATGAAAATGTCAACGGGCAGGTGTGTTTATCAATATTAACATTAACAACATCACAAGTCAAACTCATTGCTACATGTGTGGCATTTTGTCTATTATTCAGGTACTCTAGAGTGTTGCTGAGCTGAAACTAGTTTCTTCAAGGGAGAAGCAATTCCAGACATGAGCTGAGACTCTACTTCCAGGATTGGGAAAGGCAGCTCTGAAAGAGTCTCGGATTGCAGGGGCATAGGCATCAGCTTATTCACGATCTCTCCATTAGTAAGCAGGGGACAAGATTGAAAGCCAAGTTCATCCTGCTTCAAAGTCTGAGTTTTCCCCACCACAGTCTGCTTTGTGACTATAATCTGCTTTATAATTACAACTTTGTTAGGCTCATCCTGACTCTAACATATTTATTTAAATGGGGTGGAGGGCTTAGTTGGTATAATACAGTAAAGAGACACTCAGTCTTTTGTTGAAGGGGGAGTTTAGTGGAAGAAAAAGAGTTATGAATTAATGTGGAAAAGTAAATCCTTTCCTTGTTCTTGATTCTTTCTTGAGCTCTCTGCCTTGGGTGATAGCCTTGATCAGTGATTATGATGGGGTTCTCTGGATGCACTTCTCTGAACATTAAGTGACTTTTGAGACTCAAGAGCTGGGAGAACTTAAATAACTCAATTGTCAAAGTCCCATGAACTCTGCATTCTGCTCTAGAGGGGGACAAAACATCACTTATATTTATGTACGGCTCTGCACTTCAGTTGAACTTTGCACCCCACTCTACTCTGTGTTAAGGCATGATGTTCTTGAAGAGGACAATTACTCTTGCTCCTATTCCTACCTAAACTTGTTCAGTCCTTCTACTCACCATGTAGATTCAAAGTGCTATCTTTGTACAAGTGGGACAAGATAGGATTGCCCCTTTAGTCATATTGTCTTTGTCTATCCCCATCTCTGATGATGGAGAAAGCCCTAGGATATTGAAGGTTACATTGTGAGAGACATACAACTTTTGAAAAAAAGAGTTACTTCTTGCCATGTAAATGCTCCATTCTAACAGAAAATGTGAGCCTCAACTTTGAATGGAAGTCGCAACCTCAATCTGCAAGAATGATATCAGGGTGAAAGGAGACCCATGGGAGAAGGAAGGGAGGGAGATATGGGGAGAAGAAAATGAATGCCTGAGTGTGTGGGACTCATCGAAAATATGAAGGCAACATTCAGGGAGGAGTCAAGGGGTATTTGTCTGCCCATCAAGCTCTGAACGTCTGAGTGGCGCTGCTTTAGTGATTGATCCTGGTGCTGATGAATGGAACCAGTTGTGCCTCATGCATCAGTGTGACAATGTGTCTTTGCTGAGCATGCCAACCTCCCTGAAGGAAAGAGACTGGAAATTTTCTTTAAGAGCTAAGATTTTTTTTACACACCTGGTACCATTTTTTTCTTCTTGTCTCTCTATGTGTTTTGTACTAACTGCTAGACCATTTTAGGAAGCCCAATGGACCCTGTCCTCTCCCGTCTCCTTGCCTTGCACTTCTTTATCTCCACAAGCGAGGCAGTCCACTGGACTTTTCTGACTCCTTACCATCACCAAGAGAGGTCACAGATTTGAAGTTGTTTCTTCAGAAAATCTTTATCTAATCAAAACTGTAAGGAAGATGCTGTTCATTTGCTTCCAGTTTCCTGTAACGTCCTATAGTATAACATGCATCACTGTAGTTTACTTGCTTGTGTACGATTTTCCATTTCCTACACTAGACTGAAAACTCATGGAAGTCAGATACTATATCCTATTTATGTAGTATTCACATCTGCTACAACATCTGGCATTAGCAGATAAGAAACACCTGTTAAATGAATAAATGGATAATTATATTTCTGGAATACTAAGCAATAATAGCAACTATATTATGTAAATGAACATTTGCTTTGCTATAAATGGCAATGTGACCCAGGCACTAGTTTTCTTCAAGCCTTAGGTTGGTGAGAGGAAGATAAAAAAGAAACATAGTTTCTCAGAAACTGTCTAGCATTTATGTAAAGCATTTGAAAATGGCATTCACCTTTCACACACCCTTATGTGGGCGATGTCACTACTATATTGTACTTCCTGGGAAAGAAGCAACTTGTCAAACCAAACTGCACTGTTTATAAGTTGTGTACTTGTCCAGATGGGGATAGACATTTGCTATATTAAGGTCAATTCCATACTACTTATCCAATGAAATGAAGATCTTTCTGTGCAAAGACTTCTTTCCAGGACTCTAGCATATAGAACCATCTTTTTAAGACACAGTAAAGCTTCTCACGTCATCCACTTGCTGGAAGTTAATATTGAATTCCTTGGATAAAGAACACAAGGGAAAGGTAGCTGAGTCAGAGTTTGATCCTATACTCTGCTCACCTTTCTATTAGATAACACCTCATTTCCATCCCAACCAAAGACCCTCAATGCCCACTTCCAGGAGCATAAACATAGCATGACATGATACTGGAGAATCTCGCACAGCGTCCTTACGGAGAGGCTCTCTTCCTGTTCACCCTCGTTCATTGAAGCCCTCAGTCCTTCAGCACCCAGCTTGAACTGCTTTTGGAAGAATCTGTCCTTGTGCCCCCAGCTGTCTACTCTGCAGTATCATCAGTCCTTATATAGATTTATTCTTATGAGACCGAGCTCTATCTCACCCATCTCAAGATCCCTCATATAACTCAGAAAGTGACTTGGTAAATGTTTGTGGAAGTGACCTATTTCAGTTCCTTCTGTTCTGCTAGCATTAGAAAACCAAGGTTTTTGAAAATTAGTGACAAAGTCCTTGAGAGAAGTAACAGATCCTGGAAGCTCTCTAAGATAATTAGAAAAGAGCTCGTTGTAACTTACATCCCTAATAAGAATGATTGAATATATTAGCTTCATTATTATTACAGTACATATAAATCACCCAAAGACACGAAAAAAATTAAAAAAAAAAATAACCGTGTTCTAACAATTGCCACTCCATTACATGACACTATGATAAAGTTATCTATCAATAAAAAGTAATATTTGATAATACTATATCTCTCAGGAAAACTTGAGTACTTAATAATCTGTGTATTAAATTACTTTTGAGGATTAGGAAGCTTCAATCACTCTGAATATTAGAAAGAGAACCAACCAGGGGAGTCTGGTGACTCATCTTTGGCCCTCAGGGCCAGGCGTGCGGTTGCATATTGTGGAATTTCCTCTGACACAATGCGGGCATGAGGGTGCACATATTCTCTGGTATAAAAAGCCGCAAGAGCGCTCCATTCCACACAAGTCCTCAGAGACAGCAGAGCTCCTAAGCTTCTAGGACAAGAGCCAGTAAGGAACCGGAAGAAACCACTTCGCCTGAATAAACATGAACTCCAAGCTGGCTGTGGCTCTCTTGGCAACCTTCCTGCTCTCTCTGACTCTTTGTGAAGGTAAGCACATTTATGAAGCTTCTTGGGATTCCTGCCTATTAAGTAAGAATACTCATAGCACATGCAGTTTTTCTTTTCTCATAAGCATTGAGGATTTTACTAAGATGAAATTCATCTGTGTGCCACTTGTGTATTTCTACTAATTCTGTTTAAGAGCAAACTGTGAGAGGATGTTAGTGAATCTTACTTTGACTATTATAGGTACCAATGTAGTATCCCAGAGGCATGTGCAGTATCTAGGGGAAGAAAAAAGTAGCAACAGGATGTCAACTTCGCACAGAGACAACTCTGATTCTTTATGTAGAAAGTCAATCAATATTGACAGTAATGACTGACAATTGAGGTCAAGGGTTCAGAGACCACCTGGACTTCAACGTTAGGAATGGAGTTGCTAGATATGAGTTGCTTTCTGCAGACTATTTGCTTCCTCCAATACTCATTGGCATTATAGACAGGGTAGCTAGCAGAATTGCACCTGTTGATGATATCAATTCTTAATGATTTTGTTCCCCACAGCTGCAGTTCTGACACGGATTGGTACAGAGCTTCGATGCCAGTGCATAAAGACACACTCCACACCTTTCCATCCCAAATTTATCAAAGAATTGAGAGTGATTGAGAGTGGACCTCACTGTGCAAATTCAGAAATCATGTAAGTACTTATAAATAATTAGGTTTTTGCTTTAGCAAAGACCTAGAATTGAGGAAAGTGGTAGTATCCAGGACAGTTCTCGGTACTGCAAATAAAGTAGTGAGCAAAAGAAATCAAAACAAAAATCTTTGTCTACAAGACATTTGCATATAATCACTTCCATCATTAGTAGATGATGTTTGTATTAGCCTTAGATTTTACTACTGTACTAAGGGCCCATGATTTGAATGGAAATGTAAAATGTTCATTTCAATGACCTTTCATTTCAGTGTAAAACTTGTTGATGGAAGAGAACTCTGCCTGGACCCCAAGGAAAAGTGGGTGCAGAAGGTTGTGCAAATATTCTTGAAGAGGTTAGTTTTTCTCTTTTTTTTTTTCATTTTTCCTGAGACATAGAGTCTAAAAGTCAGCCCACAAATTTCTTGCTATTGTTGGCAATATTTGCTCCTAGATATTTGTTTCTTTGATTTAAAAACAAAACCCAGCAGCAACGGAGAGTTAGTTGTTCTCCTGCCTAGGGAGACTACACCCTTCTGTTTGTTCAGAGAAGTCTGGGCTTGTGCCTGTGTTCTAGTACTATTAATAAAGTCCCTTGTCATCCTCAGAAGAGTTTTTTGATAATAATTCATCTGATCTCTCTATTTCTAGTTGGAAATAAAAGGCATTTCTAACACATGAATGTCTAAGACAGTATTGAATTTTCAGGAACATATGTTTTCAAGAACTCAACTTTTTTCATATGAGTATTAGAACACTATTAATATTCCCATTTTAAATTAAATTAAATTTTATGTTTTTCAGGGCTGAGCAGCAAGAGTCATAAAAAAATGCATTCTCCATACTATCCAAGAATTCCTCAGTAAAGACGCCAAAACATTCAAAAAAGTCTACTTCAATGCTTTAAATACTGCATGGATCTGTCGTAGGGCTGCCTGATAAAATGTAGGATTCTCAGTTAAACCCGAATTTCTATAAAGCTGTGAGTTGCTTTTTCATTATCCCATGCACTATCCAGTAGATGTTTATACTGAAAATTATTTGACCCTATAGCAAACAACAAATAAATTTTAAAGATAAGAATATCTTAGATAGTGCATGGGACAATGTACAAAGAACAAACCTGAGGTCAAGGGCCAGGGGAATACCTGGCCTTCAATGTCAGGAATTGGTTTGTGAGAAGTGTGATGTTTCAATCATCACATGAAAATGATGGGACAATCAAGTTTGCTGAAATTCATAGTTAGCTAAGAATACTGGAATTGTTATTTGTTGCCACTGGCAACCCTGGTCTGTTGGTCAGGCCATGAGTTCCAAGCCAACTGTCTTGATTACTCCTTTATCCCTAACCAAGAGAAAATGTATCAGCCAACATCCTACCTCACAGGGATGTTGTGAGGGCACATGGAAGCACTTTACATTTTTTTCATGTTCATGTAAATTATTTTCAAGTGTAACTTATTCACTTATTTATTATTTATTTATTTAAGCATAAGCATGAAATATAGTAAAATGTTTGCCTTATGGAAAATGGGAAGCATTGTTCAGAGGATATTATAATGATATTAGAGTGAATTTATATTTATTTTAGATATTAAATGATATTATATTAGAGAACTTCTGATCAGGGCTTCTAGCAATAGCAAAAAATGTGTTTCAGATAACAACTACCTTTTAAATCTTAAGTAAATCATTATTTTTTTGAAATTTTAATTGAACTCAAAGTCTTAGTTTTTTACATTCCTCATCTTCTGTTGTCATTGTGAGCTTTGGTATGTAGTTCTGTGTTGAAGCACAGAATCTTGAGTTAGAATTCCCTGTCTCAAAACAGCAAAAAGTCACCAGGCAATGTTAGCCAAGTAATGTTTGTGGGATAAAATGCATTTATTATGCACAGATTCTTATAATTTTAGTTAAATGATTGTGGTTTTCAACACCAGGTTTTATTTTTTTGTAAATCGAAGATGATATTTTGTGTAACTAAAATTTTCTTCTATTGTTTTTGATAGTTCAAAAATATAAGTGTAACTATAAAACATTTAAAATAAAATTTATAATCAAAGTTATGAGGTGTTTGTCTTTTATAGTTTCAATTTATTGCAAATTTCATTTATGTTAAAATTATTTTTTGATTTTAATAACATAAAAGAGTCTCCTTAGCATTTTGTATGGTACGTGGAAATTCACAAATCTTTATTGTGGTATAGCACTCCTTTTTAGAAATCAGTGACAAAACTAGTATCTTCCATAAAATTTTGGGAACTTTTCAACTCTGCACTGTATTCAACTTTGCTAATAAAGCTGACCTCAGCTTTTCAATTAACTAGTATATTTGTGTGCACATCTTAGCACAGCTGTGAATTTTATTAAATAGGGAAAAGAGCACATATTATAAGGCAGTTACTAGTAATTAAGAAGTAAAACTGACACAAAAGAGCCAACATACTTTAAAATACAATTAAAGATCACATATTTGAAAAAACAAACAAACATTACTCCAAAAAGTGAAAATATTTTTTAAAATGCAATGGATGTATTTTGTAACAGATAAAACTATTTTAAAAAATGAAGAACTGTATTTATGAGGTAGAATGGAATAATTTTATCTGGAGATAGTAATTTGAAAAAAGAAGTTAAAAGGCACAGGGCATGGGGTGGGTATTCTGGTGTAGCCAATGAAATCACTGCATGGGATGCCCACAATTCAGATCAGAGGGTTGGTTTGAATGGTGGCTACTCTGGGCGTCCAATCCAGCTTCCTGCTGATGTACCTGGGAGGCAGTGGGATGATGGTGCTCGTGCCACCCATATGGGAGAACTGGGTGAAGTTCCTAGCTTTGGTCTGGTCCAACAGGACCAGAAGTGAACCAGTGAATGGAATTTCCCTGCCCCCATTCCCTTTCAAACAAATATTTTAAAAATGATATGTAGTATACAAAGACATGGTCTTGTGGTTGTCTAATTGAGTTTTTACAAGCAGAAGAGAAAAGAAAAGGTCAGAGACAATACTTGAAGTGACAGTGGCCCAAAACTCCAGAAATGAAGAAAAATCCCATTTACTATTTTTTACCTTTGCACTCCTAGTCAAACCCCAATGATGCTAGAGCCTTCATTCACATTTACCTACCTCCTAGTTCATATGCAATTGTCCTTTGGTATTTTAAGTCCACTTTTGTCTTCAGGCTCCATAATTCTGCTTTCATGTAGCCAAGTACTTTACAAATTTACTTATTTTTTAAAAACGTTTGTGTTGTATTATATCTCAATCCAGTATTGTGGATCAATTTCCTTCTTGCCACAAAGACAAACTTAGAATTTAGTTTAGTGATGATCTGTGATGACAAATTCGCTTATTCCTTATCCAAAGAAAGCTTAGTTTAAAGCTCCTTCTCAAGAGACATTTTTTGCTGGCATATGTTCAGTTTATCAAAAATTGACAATGCTAAAGTTCTATATACTCAAGAAAAGAAACTCAAAATACATAATGAATAAAACTTTATAACTACACAGCCCTGGCCATGGAGGCCATTTGGAGAGTGAACCAGTGGGTAAAAGATATTCTCTCCTCTCTCTCAATTCTGCTTTTCAAGTAACTAGATAAATAAATCCTTTTAAAATATACAATCTAAGTGAAAACTCTTGCAATAATTTAGCTTTTAAAGACTGCAAGAGAAACACAGGTTTGGCGGTTTTCATTCATTGGTTTTATACTCATAGTATTCAGATGATTCAGAGTCCCAAAGGGTCATCTTTCCCTTCAACGTGACATATTCTGCTGCAGGACAATTTGAATGAGGAAGAGAGTTTTCTGTCTCCTCACAAGTTAATTCACATTGCGACCTGCTTTTCGTAAGCCATTTTCTTCCTATAATCACTCTGGGTACCTGCTGCTGTTGTTCACTCCATGGGTCAACATCAATGGCAAAAGACGTTTTCATTTCTAATTTCTGGGCACACGAACATGTAAGTGTTCAGCTAACAGAATTAACAAAAAGATTGGTGAGTGACATATAACAGGAACCAAGTGGACATTCACAGTCCATAACAGCTTGTTTCCCTTTAGAGGGGAATCTCCTTGCCTACATTGCTTCTTGGCCCATGTTGTGGGGGCCTTTACTTTTCCCTCAGAGTTCCACCTAAATTTCATTTCCTTGTTCTCCTGTTTAAATTCAAGGTCCTTGTTCCATGCCGCTTTGAAATACTTCCTTTTGTGGATATCTTGGATAAGCTACTAAACAGATAACAAATGAGTAATTTTACAGGGTTCTTGAAAGCAGATAGCCAGGGGTTATCTAATCTAAACAGCCTAGACTTTCATGAGGAAATCTGAACTGGAGTCTGAAGGGTGAGTAGGAGTTGGCCACACAGAGGGTACAAGGCAATGGTCTAGACAGTAGGGAGGAAGGAATCTGTGGGCAGGCACATGACGTGATTTGAGAAGTGAAAAGAATCTCAGTCTGACTGGCATTTGACATGAAACAGAACAAGTGCTACCGGTTAGCTATGCCATACCAACAACAAATTGCTGTAAAAACAGCTTAGATTGGGGGCTGGAAATTTCTAGTAGATTCCACAATTGGCCTCATTTTAAATTATGAACTCTGTATGCTATTCTTCTGGGGTTTCTTTAAGGAAGATGGGGGCTATGAAACCAAGTGAAAGCGTTCTTTCTATGAGCTTTGTTGTGCCATTAGGAGATGAAGCCAAAGAACTAATTCTCACATTTATACAAAATTTCTTAATGTGTTAAGTATCATCTTTAATGTGATGAATGTCAGCCATGAAACAAGTTGATACCTATGTACCAATCTAGTGAATCTTAATAATGAATACTTAAAAATTGACTTTCCAGTTTCATCTTTATCACCTTTAAAATATGTCAAATGATTTTCTTCCCTCTTTCCTCTGTCACTATGAGACAGCCCAAAAAAATGCTCTACTGAAAAGCCAACCATAGAGGTCAATTTAAAGATTCAGCATTGAATAAAGAATCAAGAAAAGGAAAAATGAAAAAATGCAGAGACAGGGAGAATATGAGAGCCATAAGATTAATATTGAACAATTTTTACATCCATGTTTTATTAGAAAACTTCAGAGGATGGAAAATTACTGTGCTTGCAGTAGTTGTACAGCAAGTGAAAATTGCTTAAGAGTCTATTAACTCTGCAATAATAGTAGAAGGTTTAAGAAATCAGTAATGTCTCCATACTCACTTTAAAAGACAGCTGGACAGCAATTGCTTCACTTGGAAACCATCAGTTGAATTTGTAGAAATCACAGACAACACACAGGGACTTTTCCAACGCATCAGAGTAACTACTAGGTCAGTTTTACCCTGCAAGATTTGCAGAAGGGACAATCAGGAATTTTCCATAAGATTGCATAAGGTTCAAAGACTCCAACTTGTGACAGTGGGCTTTAACTTTCCATATCAGAGTACTTGGAGTCAATTCTCTTCTCTAACTCCTAATTCCAGCTTTCTGCTGAAGCAGACACTGGGAGGAGTGGTGATGGTACAAATAATTGTGTTTCCATGGCACATGTGGGAGACCTGGATTGAGTTCTTGGATCCTGGTTTTGATATGGTCCAGATCTGGCTGTTGTATCTACTTAAGGAATGAACCAGTCGTTAGAAAATTCTCTCTCTCGCGCGCGCTCTCGCTCTCGCTCTCTCTCTCCTTCTCTCCCTTCCCCACCTCACTCTGTGGCTTTGCCTTTCAAATAAATACATAAATAGATCTTCTAAAAATATCCAACATTTGGCCGGTGCCACGGCTTATAGGCTAATCCTCTTTTTTGCAAAGCTACTGGAATGTTTGAAACAAACTCTGGATGGAAACTTAAGTAGTCCGGGTTCTAGTCCCGGTTGGGGCGCTGGTTCTGTCCCGGTTGCTCCTCTTCCAGTCCAGCTCTCTGCTATGGGCTGGGAAGGCAGTGGAAGATGGCCCAGGTCCTTGGGCCCTGCACTCACATGGGAGGCCAGGAGGAAGCTTCTGGCTCCTGGCTTCGGATCGGTGCAGCATGCCGGCTATAGTGGCCATTTGTGGGGTGAACCAACAGAAGGAAGACCTTTCTCTCTGTCTCTCTTTCTCACTGTCTAACTCTGCCTGTCAAAAAAATCCAACATTTATGAATATAGAAAGATGGATTTCTCCATGTTTTTCATTCCTAAAAATAAAAATCAAGTTGAATAAACATAGTTGCTATTAGACTTTGTAACATTATTTAGCAAAATGACAGACAAAATCATATCTCAATGGAAAATAAAGGTGAGAAAACATTTACTTAAGTTTCCATCCAGAGTTTGTTTCAAACATTCCAGTAGCTTTGCAAAAAAGACATGTTGCAAAACATGATGCAAGCATTGAAGATAAACCTTTCTTCTATCTAGCAGTTCTATGTCACAAAATGATTTAATTGTCTGCTACTCACTCTATGACTCTTGGACTTCATACTTATATTCTAGTGTTCATGGGGAGAGTATTTTATAAGTATATTCTCTTTGTGTTTTCAAATATATCCACCATGCATCTTGCGAGAGTCTGATTTATGTATTTTTTAATTAGCTAATTAATTTGAAAGGTAGATAGGTATGTGAAACAGACAAGTAGACAATGAACTTCGATCTGCAAAAGAGAGACTGGGCCATGGCAAAGCCAGGAGACTGGAACCCAATGCAAGTCTCCCACATGGGTGGCATGTGCCCAAGTACTTGAAGCATCACCTGCTACCTCCCACGGAGCTAGCTCATTACCAGGATGCTGGAATCAAAAGAGAGGTCAGACCTCAAACCCAGGCACTCCAATGTGGTATGCTTGTGTCCAAGCAGCTTCTTATTTATTTATTTGAGAGGTAGAGTTATAGACAGTGAGAGAGACAGAGGGAAAGATCTTCCTTCCGTTGGTTCACTCTCCAAATGGCCGCTTCCTCTCGGTCTCCCATGCGGGTACGGGGGCCCAAGCACTTGGGCCATCCTCCACTGCCCTCATGG